AGTTATGTTCGGTGTAACAAAGTGCTTTTTGTATTTATTCTAAATTTCCTTCTATCTTCAGGTGAACCCTTGTCCTAGTGTTTTAAGGGATGATAAAAAAATTTCACCCAAACATTTTCTTCACAACAGAAGTGATTTTATGCACCTCAGTAATATATCCTGTCATCACCTATTTTTCCAAGCAAGAATCTCAAATGTCCTTTTCTTATGGAAGAAAAAAGGCTGAGCCCTCTGGTTATTTTTACTGCCTTGTTCTGTGTTTTTTCCAAGTCTATTTATATTTTTCAAATGTAGGAAAAAGAACTATTTTCATATTACAAAGATGACATTTTATATCAACCATTTTCCTAATATCCCTTAGAATTAAATTTGTCCTTTTCACAACTGCCCCCCCCCCCCCGTTTACATCTTCACTGTCCACTATTCCCCAAGATCTTTTTATTGGTTTGTTGGATAGCTCAGGTCCCATCAGTGTTTGTTTGTATCTAATATGCCTAATGTTGCATTTATTTAAATTGGACCATATTTGTCTTTTGATCTTTCTCCTAGTTTAAAAAGATCTTTCTACAACTCATCATAACCATTTGATTTTTGCAATATTGAGTAGTTTAGTATCATCCAATAAGGTGACAGCTTATGTCTAACTCAAAATACTAATCACAATACAATTTCAACTGCATTTTAAAAAACTGAAAGATAGCTAGAATCAAAACCTTGTTTGGAAGTGTACAAAAGTAAACTGATAACTAGATATTTTATAATTAACTACAGTTACCAGGGTAATCAATATGTATAATAGCCACATCTGCTCTATGATGGGTCTATTTGCTCACAAAAATGTGGAATCCTTAGTTTTGCCTGATGAAGAATTCTCCAGATACTCTAAGGCTGGCAGAATATTTTCTAAAAATACTGCTTCAAAATGAATTCTGAATAGATGTGATACAAGCAATAAATACTGCAAAAATCAAACCTGGTAGTATATGTACAAGTAAGTAAATTTTTCTGTCAATAATCAGAAAACAATGTCAGTGTGTAATTAATTCTTTATTTAATCAAATGACAGCAGTAACAGACATCTGAACCTCAAAAATATTGAATTTAAATTGGATAATCAAGGTTAAGATCTAGCCATTACAAGCAGTTAGAGCATATGAAATGAAGCCGATCTTACTAGTATGCCTTAATCATTCACAACCAAGAAGATAATAGGGGGAACCTACCAAGATAAATCAAACACAGGAGTTTTTTAATAACATTATTTAGAGAACCAGCCCCTGTTCACAGATCATCAGGATATCTTATTGCCTTATAACAATACTATATTACAGATGAATGTCTTCATCACTTGAACTATAGGTAGTCTTCGACTTATCACAATTAGCACTTGAATTACTATCTCTAAATAATGGAATTGTAAACCAAGACATCACATGACTGCATTGCTTAGTAACAATAATTCCGACATTGGCATTAACTAAATTCCACCAGTCATTAGCTGACACCCACTTCAAACCAAGCCATTTGGGACTCTGTCTCTCCCAGCCATGAGCCTTAGTAAAGTAAGGGACTACCTTCTCTTCAGTTCTTCCCCCTCCCCACATCTATTTCCCCATATCTGCCCTGCATCCTGCCTTGTGGGACAGCAAGCAGCTCCAGAGCACACAGCTCTGAGTGTGCTTGCCACACTGTGGCATAGGGGCTTTCTCGCACACTGCTGCTCTGCAAAATGCTCCTAAGCTGCAGCATAAAACCCAGTCTCAGTCCAGCCCAGCAGTGTGAAGTAACGTGACTTCTTGGTACAGCACAGCTGTGAGGTTGCAAGAAGCCCTTGAGCCACAACTTAGAATGAAGCCCTTTGCAGCATGAAATCCAGCTGCAAGAGTGCAGCCAGAGCCACAGCCAGCCCAGCCCAGCCGCTCTCTACACCCTACACTCCATCTGACCTCCATTTTGTTACTCCTGCTGCTGATTGAGGTGTGCCCAGCCTTTACAAGGCAGATTCTGGCCACATGGGGCTCACCTTCCTCATGAGGAAACTGACCTAGGGGAAAAAGTGTGTGGCTAGCACCTGCATGGGCAAGGGCTGGCATGCTTGGTCAGCAGTAGCAGCAATAAGGTGGCAAAGTAGAGCTAGGATGGCTTGGGACCAAAGGGCATAGATGGGAGAGATAGGTGGGTGGTGAGGAGTTGAAGCTCCCCTAAGGTGAATTGTGATCACATGATTGCTACAGTGGCCATAACTCTGGGGACTAGACCCTTTGTTCAATGCTACCATACATTCAAATGCTCATTGAATGAATAATCCTAAATTGAGGACTGCCTGTATTTGTGTTTCATTACTTCTGATCAGAGAATGAAGAACTGAAGATCATTCATTCAACTCAATATTTTGGGTTCACACAATAGAATGAAGTATGGACTATTCACATGGACACATGGATTCAAGGAAGAAATAGATTAAAATATGGGTGATAAGCTATGAAAGTACTTAAAAGACAGCACTTGCACTTTAATACCAAAATGCATACATTCTTCAGAGGCCCCTGTCCATGCAGTTGGATAATTAAAGTATGATTCCTGGTGCATATGAGCCATTCAATGTAGTTTCACCTATCATATAGTATGATAATGTAATTTGTTTTATCTGAACTTAACAAAGAATACATTTTTCAAGTGTGGATTATTCCATATAATGTGGGTTATCATAGCATGCGGGGCCCATTCACTCTTTGGTTTGCTTAATCATAATTTATTAAATAAACTATAGTTGGTTTACAAAACATGTGATTGCATAAATAATACTTTAAATATAGCATGATACAATATTTTAAGTCAATTACTATAAGAAAAATTATTATTAGGGTTATCAGATCTGTGTTCAGAATCATTAGACAGCAGCAGTTAGAATTAGTTTGCAATCCAGATCTCACAGCACTAATAATAGCTTAACTTGGTGAACCAGGTTAGAGAAAAGCAATAGATTGGGTTTTTTTCCTGCACAAGGCAGATATTACATGAAACAAAACCACAAGTGATGCATGATGAAAGTTTATTTAGCATTATCTGCTATTTTTACTAATGTAAATACTGAATACTATTGCATAATTTCATGTTCATTATTTCAATTCTTTCCAATAGTCCTAATGTGAGTGAAATTAGATACTATACAGATAATGCATATTGCTAAAAACAAGCACTAAGCATCAGATTTTGAAGCTGTTAATAGAATACAACAGGTATATTTCTTTCCTACCATGGGTTCATTCAAAATCCACACAAATAAAGCAGACATATGACAGAAAGAGAAGAGGGAAAGAGAAGAATAAACAATTTTGCACTTCTTTTTCCTCATCCCCAACATTCTACTGCTATTATTTTTCTACTTCATTTGGAAAAAGCATCAGAAAGTAAGAATAGCTTCTTTATTGGATAGTTGAATATATCACAGGGGTGGGCACAATGTGCATTTCTTCAAATGTTGGCAAGTAAGTATGGCAATAGTGAACAATACTAAAAAAATGTAGCACTCTCACATCTAGAAAACCACCAACTATGCTCTCAAGATATACTTACTCTTTGTGAACTTAACTGTGACTTAATAAATTTTCCAATATTCTGGATGCAACATATTTATTAACTGCACAAATTGAAAATACATGCCAACCTAAATATTGCTCGCTACTTTGCTTTTCAGACTACAAATATAACAGTATTTTGAAACCTGAAATAAATCAGAATTGTAAACCCAGCTAATTTTGGATTATTCAACAAACTATGGCTTAGTACGATCTGTGCACACACCTATGGGAATAATAACGTACTGCTGCACTGCCAGATTTAAAACTTTGCATCTGGCAAGTACTTCCTTAGATGAAACATTCCTTCTTTTTTCATACATAGCTGAGAATGGTACTTCTGAAGTAATTTCTGATGTAACCATCATCTTAATAGAAGAAATCCATTTCATTCAGGTTTGTTTTATTTCTCCCATTACTTAAATCATGCAATAAATCAACTAAGGTTTCACTAATCTAGTAAGAATCTCAATACTAATGAATATTTCTGCATACCTATCCTAAAGACAATATAATTGCAGTCTCCTCTAGACAACATTGAATACTAACAAGACAGGCTGAGTATCTACAGTGCAAGATACTGGTGTGTCCTGCAATGGGACTCAATTCTAATACCCCCGTCAGAAAGACTATTGCACAGAAGACTATTTTTTTAAAAACTTCAAACTCCATATTCAGCTTATGGCACCAATCACTAGCCAGATTTCCAGAAAAGAAACAATATCCAACAGGGATTCATTCCTACTTGTCTGTTCTATACCAAAATAAGTCTAAGCAAGGAAGATTTAAAAACAGTGGACACCGATTTTCCCCCCACTTCCTTTCTTTTGAAAGGAGAATTCAGCAGGTAATGGGGAAAGAGGGTGTTAGGAGAAACTTGAGTCCTGTTCTGCAGGTTAGAAAAGTGCGATTCGGTTGGACCTCGCTTCCCTAACAAACAAACAAACAAACAAACAAAAAACTCGTGGAAGACATGGGGGCGTGTAAATAAAAAGCAACAAAAGGGGAAAATAATGAAAGGACTAAGATATCAAAGAAGAGATAACTCCAAACGACGCTAGAAAGACTCGGACAGAAAGGAGGTAGGGAATAGAAGCCTCTCTCGGCAGAGGAAATGGGAAGTAAAGCGAAACAAGAGCCTCTCAATCAACCCCTCATCAGCGCGGGCCTTTTGAGAGAAGGGATGAAGCCGCTTTGTCTCGCCAGCCTCGACCCTTCCCCAAAGCGCCCCAGTGAGGCGTCGGGTAGGAAAGGGATAAAAGACGAGTCACTTGCTCGTCAGGGGCGGGGAAGATTTCGGTTTGGTTGCGACACCCGCTTCTCAGCCGCGCAGCTTCAACTTCTGAGGAAGTTCGCTGGGAGCCGCACCACGAGCGAGGGATCCCCGCGGCGGGCGGCAGAGGGGAAAGGGAAAGCGCTCACCCACGCCGTATTTCTCCTCGCGCTTGGTGGGTATCCAACGCGTCATAACTGAGAGGAGCCCGAGCCCGCCAGCCGTCGGGGAAAGCCGGGGAGGAGAGAGGCGGAGACTGACGCGGCGGCGACACTGCTAAGCCGCCATTTTCCAGCCTCGGTCGCGGCCGCCCCGGGACAAGGAGAAGAAAGTTTGCAGGCAACGGGAGCGGTCATGTGGTGCAGGCGGAGCCAGGGATTGGGAGGCCCTGCCTGGAGAGGAAACCCAGGCGGTCGCTGCGGACGGGAAGGAGGCTCCCTCGGCGGCACCGTCACCGCCGTTAAGCATCCTTCCTCGGGCTGGCGGGGCCCGTTTTCCCTTCCTCTTGAAAAGTCTTTTCCGCTCCTGAGAATGACACTTCCCGGTTCTGAAACCGCCCCGCGTTGCTTCACCTTTCCCTGCCTTTAGCCACAAGTAGCCGTGTTATCTTCTCCCGGTGGAGCGGCACGTCATGCTTTTCACCTGTGTAGGAAACAAGACGGTTTGACGTGGCTATTTTCCTTTCGAAGAAGAAAGTGAATGTTGGCGTCCATTTTAATGTTGGACCTATTTGAAAGCATGCAAAATGACTAACTTCAGGAACAAATAAGCCTCTACAGTTAAAAATCACACAAGCAATTCTTGTAGATTTGATTTTGTATGCAGGGGATCATCCTACCAAAGAAGGCAAGTTTGTGCACTGGATGAACGTTGAGAAAAGTTTTACTTTAGTTTGTTGTCATTGCACCTCGTACAACGAAATCAAACACCATCTTCAGTGCACATCATGACCATTAAAACACATCCTTCACACTCCACACATTGAACTGAAACCCCCAACACTGCACCATACAGTAGAATTCAAAAGAGCTGCTGCCCTTCCTACACAGGTGAAAAGCATGCCAGGTTACGCTTATGGTTAAAGTCTTAACTATCCCTTTTTTTAGGAGGGGGGCATACCAGTTGAAAAATGAAGGCAGATGGTACAGAAATGAAAGCATTCATCACCTCATGGATATAACTAGATGCCACCTGGGAAATGTGGCAGCTGTGGCCAAGAGAACCATGGTCCCAACCAGTCCTTTAGTTGTCCATAAATCTCTTCTCACAGATGTTAATACATTAATCACTTCATGTTTAAACTATTACATTGCATTCTATATGGGGCTACCCTTGAAAAATCGCTGGTCCAGAATGTAGCTGCATAACCACACCTCTGCAAGCTGCATTGGTTGCTGATGTGCTTCTAAATGTTAGTCAAGGTACTTGACTAGTGGTAAACTGTAAAGTCCTTCATGGCACGGGTCATGATAACTTGAAGGTTCACATTTCTTCCATCACTTCTTTCCATTTTGTAAAATCCATTTTCATGTCCCACATTGAATGACATCTAATATCCGTGCCATTTAGCCTCTGGAATGATATCTATCCCCCCAGAATGTCTATGGAGATTCTCAGTCATCCAGGTCATGGTTGTCCCAAATGTATTTTTTCAAGAGGCAGTTGGACTTTCTGGTTTTTCTTTGAAGACGTTTTGTTTCTCATCAGAGAAGCTGAATAAACTTCTCAGCTTTGAAGAAGCTTCTTGAATAAGAAGCAAAATGTCTTCAAAGAAAAAACAGAAAGTCCAGTTATCTCTTGAAAAAGCACTTTTAGGACATCCCCTCAGAATGTTGTGTTGCTCCTACCTTTAGCGTTTCAGATATACCATATAGGAAACTTGACAGGATGAATCAATTCTACTTTTGTCAACCATTCTAGCTAAACCAGACAGGAGACACAACTAGAGGAAATAATTCTACTTTATTCTAGGGCTACATTAAAAAACGTATAAGTCTGAACCTTCCTACTACAATTTTTAACTGCTTGATCCATTAGGATGGATCCTCCCTAAGTTTCTCAGACTGCTAAATCTCTTTCCTAGGCAGCATTTCTTCACCATAATACCTTAATTATAAGGCTACATTAACAGAGTCTTGCAAGTCTGAAAATACAAATCTGCCATCTCAACTAGGCTGGATCCTTTCTAAGTTTCTCTGCCAATTATGCAAATGCCGGCTCTCCCCTCACTTATCCTCATCTAGGCAACATCTCCCTCACCCTCATCCAAGATCATTCTCACATTCCAACACTTTCCCTTGACATCTTTAAATGAACTTTGACTGATATCTAAAGATTGTGCTACTTGCCTTGTTCCCAGGAATGTTTGGTTCTCCTCCAGGTTCATGTAAGTTGGTACAAACCTTAGATTCAGGGTGATGTGGGCTCCAGCTTTGCCTGTAAATGTTAGTTTGATTCCCAAGATGTTTCATCCTAGATGTTTCTTTTCTGCAGGTCCTACTAAGAAAATGACTTAGGAGAATTGGTGTCAGGTTCGCAGAGTTTATCTTTCACACTGATTAAATTAAGCATCGAGAATTGTTGAAAACGAGATGGATGTCAAATAAATTTTCTAAATAAATAAAATACTTTGATATACTTTTCAAATATAATTTCCAGAAGTCCCAAAGTCACCAAACAATCCAAATACACACAAGCTGTTTCATTTAACACTTTCTTCTTTTTTCACTTTCTCTTCCTGGGATTACTATTTAGTTACAAAGTTCCAGTTAAAATGTATCTTTTAGAAGTCTTGTTACCATTTACTTTAGATTCTTTTAAATTCCAAGCAGCCTCCTCCAGCCAAATTTTGCTCTTATTCTTTTCCTCTCCCTTCCCACTTACAGCAAAAAAAAGTTTTTTAAGTGTTCAGAAATCTTTATTGTCCCCTTGGCATTTAATCCAGTTTAATTACCTGTTGGTGCCAAAGCGGATTTTTCCGATTTCTCATTCATCTACTGTCAACGTAAGGCAGGAGAGTGAGAAAAAAAAACTTTCCCTTTTCACTTTCATTCACTGCTTCCGAATCTTCTTTGGGAGCGATGTATCTTTTATAAGATTTAAATTCCAGGGTATCTCAGTTGTTGCTTCTTATCCCGGTCAGCCAAAACTTTCACTTCTTAACTTCCTCCTGCACTTTCTTTTCCGGCTGAGTGCTTTTTTGAGGCGGCCATTTCTGACCGCCGCTCTTACCGCCTTCGGGAAAGGGAGTTTAGCCAGCTGGGGAGGAAAGATGCGGCTTCCCTCAACCCTGCTGGGATGTCCCCCCTCTTCGCACACCTCTACGGGGTGGCTTAGCCCCGAAGCCGAATGGCTCGGGACGCTCCAGCGGCGAGCCCAGGCAGAAACTGTGCATGATCACGGATTCCTGCCTGCCGCCGAAGCCCTGCAAACTGGAACCCTTGATTAGTCTCTTTTCTGTGAGGCTACTTTACTATCTTCAGCTAAATAAGAATCTGTCTGTCCAACTCTTAGTAGGTGTAAGAAAATCAAGGCAGTGATTCCAATACTATGCAACCTGTTCTTGCTAATGTGTCCGAAGATGCTTTTCCAAAAGATAACTGACAACTTTCTTACCAAGAAAGTACAGTGGCTTTTTGGAAAAGCACCTTTTTGGAAAAGCACCTTTTTGGAAAACCATGACCTGATTGATGGAGAATCTCCATACACATTTTTGCCAGCGTGTTTCTAAGTTTAACTGAAAGTCTTAGTTTTAAGATTTAAAACTTTAAATATTAACCAGTTAATTTGATTGAATTTCTGCTTTCATTCAAGCAATCTGATCATGCTTTGAGGTTGCCAAAGTTCTATTTAAATATTCCTTCCTGAGAATAATTAGGTTGTTGTTCTGAGGCTGACAATAACCCCCTGCCTGTGAAACTCATTATGGAGATAACACTAGGTAAGACATGCTCTTAAAATATGTATTTATCCTCAATGGATTGCCTCCTAAATATTTTATTGAACTACTGAATATAAATGGTTTAAAATTATTATTAATTTTAATATTGGTATTAAATTCAGTACTTTAATCTTACTAGTGTATTTGCACTTTATTTTCTTTTTGAATTTGCTGTTATTCGTGTTTTATTAATAACTGATAATCATACTCAGGGTTCAGTTTTCTGTCAGGTGACCCATAACCATTTAAAGATATGAACATAAAGTATTATTTTACATACTTCAACAGATTACTTTTAATTTTTTTCATGCTTCTTCTCCAATAGTCATAGAAAGACCTGAAACAAGTTCATCATCATATATTTTACAGTCCTATAAGTGATTAGATCCTACATTTAACTTCATTCCAAAACACCAGGGAAACTTACCAGATCAAAATGTTGATGTGGGGGGGAAACTCTTTAGAAAACACGTCTGAAATGAGAAATTTTCCTTTGTTTGTTCCTCGTGTTAAAGAGAATATAATCTTTATTCAGGCATTTATTGTCCTTCTCCCAATATAGATTCTAGATTTCAGATTCTGAAGGTCAGCTATATTACCAGCCACAGACAAAAAAAAAGCTGAAGCTATAGGAAGGCTAAGTATTAAAACAATAACCCAAAAATGATATTAATGACAATATCTCATTATAAATTAGTGAAGTATACACTTTAAATTTATTTAAGAACATTAGGGAATACTGTCATTTCTTAACACTTTTATTGCAAAAAATGAACTTATAGTGTTCCTGATGAAATATCCAAAACAGGGGTCTTCAAACTTGTGCTTTAAGACTTGTGGACTTCAACTCCCAGAATTTCTCCTCCAATCATGTTAGCTCAGGATTTCTGGGAGTTGAAGTCCACAAGTCTTAAACTTGCCAAGTTTGAAGACCCTTGATCTAAACCAGTGGTGGGATTCAATTTTTTTTACTACTGGTTCTGTGGGCATGGCTTGGTGGGCATGGTAGGGGAAGGATACTGTAAAATCTCCAGTCAGAGGTGGGATTTGCTGGTTCTCCGAACTACTCAAAATTTCCGCTACCAGTTCTCTAGAACTGGTCAAAACGTGCTGAATACCACCTCTGATCTAAACTATAATTAAGTTCAGCATTATTTAAAATTTAGGTTTATAATGCCTCAAAGTTCAACAATGACTGGGCAGTATGCAAATTAAAAAGAGATGCAATGCAAAAAACAAAGTATAACTATAAACATAAGGGGGAACTAAAATACAGGTAGTCCTTGATTTATGACCATTCATTTAGTGAATGTTTGAAATTATAGTGGTGCTGAAACAATGGACTTGCGACCTGTGCCTGAAGTTATATGATATGGTACTTGGCAGCCACTTACATTTATGACTGAAGGGACTCTGCAATTCTCCCCACCTAGCTCTCCCTCCCAAGTTATGTCCTGTTAACTGCCCTGCACAACAGCACTTGTCTATTTTATTTATTTATTTATTTATTTATTTATTTATTTATTTGATTTGTCAATCGCTTACAAGATAATAGGTTTAAGTATATACATAGTTATGAATACATGAAATGGGTACATAAAATAAAAATAAAAAAACAATAGGACAGGGACGGTAGGCACGTTGGTGCGCTTA